GCAGGAGATGCAGGTTTGATCCCTGCGTCAGGAAGATCTCCTGGAGCAGGAACTGGCAACATGCTCCAGTATTCTTGCCTGGAAAATTCCACGGACAGAGGAGCCTGGTGGGCTATAGTCTATGGGGTCGCAAAGAGTCAGACACAGCTGAGCATACAAACATCAATAAATAGGAAAACAGGCCCAGAGGGGCCTGGGCTTCTCCAAGGTAACATAGCAGGTTAAATGAGGCAGAGTCAGGACTAGACCTTGGGCCTTCGGAGTCCAGTCCCGGGCGGGGACCAGCGGTGGGGATGGAAAACAGGGTTCCCTTGAGGACTGTGACACAGCCAGGCCAGACTGCTACGGGGCCAGAGTCCAAGTCTGACCACGGTTTCTATGCCTACCTATGCTGAAAAGGTTTGTCCATAGGTGGGTTGGGTTCCTGTCCCACCAACTGAGGTGAATGACAGCGAGAAAAAGCATTCCTGCCTTGATTTTCTAGGAAGCCAGACTTCCAGATCTTTCAAAATTCCAGAATTAAAGAAATGCTGGAAGGAACCTTCTGAATCACCTATGGATATGGGAGCTGAGGCCTCGGGAGGAGAAGACTGTCTCAAAGCCCAGACCCCAATGAGTGGCCAATGCACTCCTTCTGTCCTCTGGTCCAAGCTCTCCTGGTATATCAGTGGTTAAGAGGCTGGGCTGCGGCTGGAGGCTGACTGATCTGGGCTGGAATGCCAGCTCTTGCCATTCACTGGCTATGGGGCCTCGCTTCACTCCCTGGTCTCTCTGAGCCTCAGTTTCTCCATCCCCATGCAAGCTGGGGATAATAACACTGACCACCACTATAAGGATTTAATGCCATAACAAGATTCCCACAAGGATAGACTTGGCCTCATTCATGGCTGTGTTCCCAGCACCCTGACACATGGCACACCCTCAATAAAAGGGAAAAGTCATCATCACCGTGTACCACACTACTGTGGCTTGACATCTTTAACCCTCAAGTCCCCCGGAGGGAAGCGGGGGAATCTGGCTGCGGTACAGGAAAGTAGCCAGGGTCCCAGGAAGAATGGCAGTGCCCCTTAAGCAGGTGCCATGCCCTTCTGTTTGGTCCCTTCCCACGGCACGGGGAGGACATTGCTGAGTGATGACTGAAGGCCTCCAGCTCCAGGAGCTGTTCCTGACCTTGCGCCATGGCCTTGCCTGCGGGCACTGACCCTTACTCTCTGGGGTACCCTAAGCATGAGCCTAGGGTCAGGCTGGACACAAGGGATGGGAAAGAGGCAGGAGCCAGTCTGCGAGGCTCTCAGGAGCCTAGACTGTATTAGGCTGCCTGCTTGCAGGACACACGGTGATCAGAGGAGCCAGGCATCAGCCTGGCCTGAGAGCGAAGCTGATGGTGGACGCTTCCTGGCTCATTAGAGGGGTGAGGGGCAGAGCTAGCTAAGCACTTCATGGGCCCCCCACTTCCACTCCAGCCTTACCACCACCTGCACTTAGCAGCTCCCTCCCCACCAGGCATTTGGGAATATAAGGAACGTTGCGGCTACTAATAGACTACACAGCCCATTCTGGCCATTCGCTCTTGCTACCTGCAAGCCTCCGTGAAGGTGTCTACCTCCAGGTTGCAAGCGGGTGGGGGGATGAGTGAAAGTCCAGGAGCCAAGAGGCCCCGGTTGGGCAGAGTGGGTCCCAGTGGCAGGGCTGTGAGCCCCAGCCTAGGGAGGGCAGCTCCCATCCCGAAGTCTTTTCCCTGGTGTGTTGCCCCCATGAATCCTTCTATCCTCTCCCTCCACACACACACACACACACACACCCCTTCAGCAGATCCCTTCCCCCCCACATCACGGCCTCAGTGGAGGGACTAGCCAGTGGATTATTTTCCAGGGATCTTGAAGGTCCACATCTGGGAGTCTGCTAAGTCTAGAAAGTTCTGGGCTCTGGAAAGAGAAAGTAACGTTCTTGAAGAAAGTTTCTTTAGATGAAATGGCCTCCAGGGGCCAGGGAGGAAAAACAGGAAGGGCCTGGCTGGGCAGGAAGTCCTGAGGGTGGGGCCAGGCCAGAGGAAGAGGCGCCCGGGAGTGGCCACCGTGGCCCTGGCCGAGGGCTGAGTTAGGGACTGTCCTGGGTTATGCTGGGGGGAGGAGGTTGTCTCCAGTTGACTGCTGCCCACCCGAGAGTTAGGTCAGGACCCTCAGATCACACGGTGGGAGCTGGGCAGGGCGATGGGCCCGAACCCTCTGTGAGCAGGGGACACAGATCCCACACCAGCCCTCTTCTCCCCACTCCTGGGCTGTAGGGTCCTAGAGCAAACTCCCCTCCCCTCACTCACCAGGCCTTCACCTTTCATGCACTGAGCCCTGCTCCGTGCTCGGTAACAACTCTTACCATTGCCCCCAATCCACAGATGAGAAGACTGAGGCATGGGGACACTAAAATGCTTGTCCAGGTTTGCCCAGCAAGTGAGTCAGGGAAGAGAATTCAAACGCTGGCTGCCTGACTGCACAGCCCTTGCTGGTAAGGAGAATGCTAAAGAAGAGACCCTCTCCTGAAGGAAACAGCAGAAAACACCTCAAATCCCGGGGCTTGAGGGGAGGCCTGGGAAAGCTGAGGGGGTGGAAGGCTGACCTGAGCCCGGGGTGGGGCAGGAAGCCTCACTGCTACTTTCACATCTGCCACCCCCCACTCCCGGCCCGTGTGTGCCTGTGGGGCGGGGTGGGGCGGGGGGGGACTATTTCTCACGATCTCCTCTCCTCACACCCACCCCCGCCTCCCCCACCCTCACTCTCAGCTGTGACCTTGCTTCCCACTCCCCCCAAGACACTCCAGCCTCTCAGAAGTGCTTCCAGATTCGCAGGGGCACAGCCACCCCCGCCAGCATCTGCACCCACTCGCCCTGCCTCGTCCTAGGAGACTCAACTACCCACGCTCCATGCGCCACTCGGAGCCCAAGCTCTGCTCCGCTCAAGGACATCACTCCAGCAAGCCTCCCCACGCCGCAAGCTCGTCCTCCGCCCCCCGTCGCATCATCAGCTTCACCCTCTCCATCAGATCCTTGCCAGCCATCGATGAACAAACTGTTTTCCTGCCATCCTGATCCTACTCCCCGGACCACCACCGCCCCCCAACCCCACCCCAGCTACCGCCATTCCCCTACTCCCCTCTCCAAGGGAACTGCTCAGAGTTGATTGAATCCATTGTCACCCATGTCTCTCCTCCTGCTTCTCTCAAAATCACCCCGGCCTGGCCTCCCCACCCGTCACTGCATAGGAAGTGCTCCTGTCCGATGGCCTCTGTGTGGCTAAACCCAGGAGCCAGCTGGGTGTGGCCACACTGGCCCTCCCCACAGCACTGGACCGTTGGGCAGCCCCCCACCCCCCAGCTGTTGTGCTCCCCTGTTTTTTTTCCAGCTTCTCTGGATATGCCTCCTTGGTCTCCTCTGCTGGTTTTTTCTCTTCTCCCAGACTTTGCAGTTAGGGTTAGGGTCACCCAACTTGCTCTAACACATGCATTCTCCATGGGGGCACCATCTCCCCCAAGGAGGGGGAAATTGGTTTGGGGGAGGAACAAAAACTCTTAAATATTGAAGTGGTTTGTGACTCTCCAAAGGGTCAAAGTACATAAACATATATACATCACAGCTATGGAATTACAATTTCGTTCGGAGGGGATGATTTTAGGGGAAGAGTCTACAAGGCTTCTTGGGGTGGATGGTAATTTTTAAAAGGCTGAGAAAGAGGGTTTGCTATAACACAGATTTCTCATTCCGGCGGATGGCAAGCCTCTCCTTCCAACTGCTCAGGCCAAAACCTTGGGAGTGATGTGGCCTGTTCCCTTTTTGTCACAACCCACATCCAATCCATCAGGAAATCCCGTTAGTTCTGCCTTCAAAATAGATCTGGAATCCAATCACTTCCCCCGACTCACACCCTCACCCCCATGGCAGCTACCCTGATCTGAGCTGCCTCATTGCTTGCCCGGATTATTGCAACAACCTCCTTCCTGGTCTCCCTGCCCCTACTCCCTTGACACACAGCCAGAGTGATTCTTTTACAATGTAAGTCAGCTCATGTCCTTCTTCATCCAACTCTGCAGAAGCTTCCCATCTCCCAAAGTTCTCACGATGGCCCTCACTTTGCACTCCTGCTTCCTCTCCTGACCCCCCTCTGCTATTCCTCTCTCCCTCATTCATTCTGCTCCAGCCCCACAAGCCTCTGGTGAACCCTCCAGGCATCGTCCCACCCCAGGGCCATTGCACTGGCTGTTTGTGATCCCTGGTTCACTCTTACCGAGACAGCCACAGGCCTGAATTCCTCACCTCCCTTAAGTCTTTACTCAGATGCCACCTTGTCAACAAGGCCTGCCTGACCACCCTGTCTTTTTTTTTTTTCCATACATTTATTTACTCATTTGGCCACCTCGAGTCTTAGTTGCAGTGTTCAGGATCTTTGTTGCATCACATGGGGTTTCTTTGTTGTGGCACGCGGAGTCAGTAGTTGTGGCACATGGACTTAGTTGCTCCACAGCATGTGGGATCTTAAAATAGTTCCCCAGACAGGGATTGAACCCGTGTCCCCTGTATCGCAGGGTGGATTCTTTACCACTGGGCCATGAGGGAAGTCCCTGATGACCCTGTCTTAAGACTGCAGTCCGTCCCCAGTATTCCAGATCACCTTTACTTCTCCAGACCCTTTCTTTCTTCCCTAACACACCTAATACTATGACATTTACTTCCTCTGCTTACTGCTGATTGCTTGCTAGATGCCAGCCCCTCAGGGGGCTCCCTGTTTGGTCACTGTGGTCCACTCAGCAGGAGGAGAGGGCTGGCACACTGGAGGAGTGTCTAATGCCCCCTGGACACCCACTTCAGGCAGGTTTCAGACTTTTTCTCCACAGGGCTCATCATGTCTCCCACCTTTGCATTTGCCTGTTGCTTTCTCTGCAATGCGCCCTGCCCCCTGCCCCCCACACTATCCATTACTCAGAACCCTCTAAAAGAACACTTCTTCTTCTTCTTTTTTTTTTTTTTCTTTTTCAAAGAACACTTCATCTCTCATTAGATCAGGAAGGGCCCAGCCTGCCAGCAGGGAGGGAGCTTTTCCCCAGGAGCAATGGGAATTCATGAAAGGGATTTGAGCTGAAGAGTGACATGGTCACATTTGTGCTGTGATGCTCATGGATGGTGGGTGGGAGGGGAGCTAGCTGGAGGCAGAGCAAGAGACCCAGAGAAGAAGCTGGTGAGAGGCAAGAGGACCCTGGCCAGGGTAGTAGATGAGCAACAGTGGGGAGAGGGGAGTCTGGGGCAAGCTGGGGAGGTAGCCAGGAAGGGGGAAAGGCTGGGTCTTGCCACCAACTCACTGTGGCAAGTGAGGAAGACAGAGGAGGTAGGAACATGGCTGAAATGTCTGATTTACAGGGTTGGATGGGATAACAAGTCAGCCAAGCCCAGGGAATGGGGTCACACTTCACAGGGGAATGGAGGTTTCTAGAACCAGCTTCTCTCCTCCAGATCCAGCCTCCATCCCTTTTCGCTGGGGCATCTTGTACCCAACACTTCTGGCCATAAAGGAGGCAGCTCACGGGGGTTTGGAGAAGGATAGGGTTTCCCCAGAGGACTCCAGACCTTGGACCTGGGATGGCAGGGAGGCGCCCACCAGAGGGGCTTTTTCAGAACAGAAGGCTGAAGCCTATGCCTCTAAATTTACAGAACTTCCGGACCCCGGTGGAAAAGTCCATACTTGCCTCACTTTCTGCCTAGCCTTGTTTGGCCAGAAAGACAAACAGGACAGGGAGTGGCCTTTGTGTCATCACGGGGACTCCGGAGCGAAGCCCAGGGTGTGCCGGACAGGATGATGGAGGGCGTCTCCTGGTCAGCCCCAGCTGTCCCCGGCAGCAGCAGCTCCTTGGAGGAAGAAACACACTCATCTCACATCCTCACCTTGCAAATGGGGAAACTGAGGCCCAGAGAGAGGTGTGAGCTATCAGAGGGTACATCTGGTTTTCCCGGGGGGGGGAAACTGAGGCTTCCTGGAGAGAAGAACTTGCCCTTCCAACAGGGACAGACTAAAAATGTCATCGAAATATATATACAGCTCATTTCTTCCCAAGAGTTCAGAGTGCCGCACATCCATGATCTAATTTGTCCACGAGACATCCCACTGGGATGGGTGGCAGGGCCACTCCATGCAGATGTTGTGAAAATGCTCAGTCATTGCCCTCCCTTCCCTAACCTTCCTTTTCTTCTTCAGTCTCTATTATTTCCCCTTTCTTCTCCCATCCAATCTAATCCAGCAAAGATGTAAGAGGCCTCCACTTGGTGCAAAGACTGGGTATTTGAGAAGCTTCTGGATTTCCGCAGGGCAAAGTCACCGTTCTGTTCTCTGTGGTCTGAGAGCACTTTGTTCATACCTGCATCTGTGTGCATGTCATCCCGTTTCTATAGATCAACAGTCCTGGAGTGGGGGCTTGATCTTATTCAAGCTTACTTTCCTGAATACTGTCCAGGCCAAGGCCTGGCATTCGGGAGCCTGGAGACACGCTTGCCCAGGGCATTCCTCCATTAGTGTACTTGTCCCACTGTATGCCAATTACCCCAGGGATGAGCTCAGAGAGGGATTGTGAATATGCAGTCTCAAGCACCTAGCAGCACAACGTCTGCTGAACGGATGAATTTAAAAAATGAAGAAAGGAAGATAAGGATGGATAGGAAGGGGCTATCCTTGCCTTTAAAGAGCTCCCAATCCATGGCATGGATGGGGGAGGTGGGCAGAGAGATGTACAAATATATCGGAGTAGTGATGAAGAAGTACCACGGGCCTGCAGAGGAGGAGAATCACCTGAGAGAATCAGGGATGGCTCCCTGGAGGAAGTGGAATTTGAGATGGGTCTTTAAGGGTGGAGACACCTGGCAGAAACTCAGGAACACTTTTTAGCTGAAGGCAGGGCACTGGGCAAGACAAGAAGGGCAAGGTCCTCTGACTGGTGGTGGTGGCGGTGGGATGGTACTCTGGGTCAGGCCAAGTTGCTCATGCCTGACTCCACCGGCAGTGGGGAGCCATCAAAGTCCTTGGGGCCGGAGATCAGAGTGTGTTGAGGCCAGTGTTAGAGTGTCTAACTGAGGGAGGCAGCTGCCAAGTTTGCAGTGAACGTGTGACAGGCTCCACAGAGGAAGACTCTAAAGGATCTGGAAACCCATTAGATGTGGGGGCAGAGCAGGGGGGGCTCTGGGGCACCCATCTGGAGTCTGGGAGAGTGATGAGGACTTAACAGGTATGGCGTGATCCTGGGAGGGAGGGACTGCTTCCCAGGGAGAAGATGAGTTCATTCCACCGGGGTGGAGACGCTTCATTAGGAAGGCAGATGCCAGCTTGGGAGGGAGGTCAGGGCCCTGGAGACAAGAGTTGGGAGTTGGGCTAAAGCAAAAGCTGAGGCCCTGGGAGTGGATGAGCTCATGCAACACAGAGTGTGGGGTGAGAAAGAAATCGGACTGAGGACAGAGTCTTGGAGAACCCTCACAGTTGTGGGGGGAGAGGAGCAAAAAGACAGGGGATCCAGGAAGAAAAGAAGTTTCCAGAGAGGTGGGGGTGGTTCCCCTATCTTCTCCCTCTTTTCCAGTGCTACCCACCTTCTTCTCCCCCTCACTTCTCAAGAGGTAGGGTGGGGGCGGCCCAGAGGGACCCTGGTGCCTGCCCAGGCCCCGGAATGCTCCCAGGTGAAAGGCAGTCAAGCCAGAGATTGGAGTGCTTGGGTTCTAGAACTGCTCAGAACCGGGGGGGGGGTTCGGCAGGGGGGACTGCCCCCTCCCTCACCCTTCCTGGCTTTGTGACCTCAGACGAGCCACACCCCCTGTGATCTTCAGCCTTTTCTTCACCTTCCCGAGGGGATCACAACAGGACTTCCTTCATCGGGCTGCTGCGACTATTAAGAGGGATAATGTGCGTTATGCACTTGGCACTTGGGCCTGGCAAGCCCTCAGAGCTCAATAAATGGTGGCTGCTGCTATTATGATTATTACAGGGCTGGGATTGGATTCTGGCGCTCGGTCTAGCCGGGCCAAGGAGCCCAGGAGCCCCCAGAGCATTTAGCGAGGAAGGGGGCCTGGCAACCTGAACTCGCCCAGCTCCCGGAGGGCTAGGGCCCCTCCCATGACCCTCCCAAGCGCAGAGTCGGGTTTCGTGGAACTGGGGCAGAGTCACAGCTCTCTGTGCGCGGATAACCGTTTCACCTGCTGAGAAAGGAGACCCTACCCCGACTAAAGTCTTCAACTCCAGATGGGGGGCGGGGATGGGGGGGGAACTCAGTCCGCGGGGGGCCCCGCGCCTGCGGCGCCTCCTCCTCTGGGGCGGACGTGGACGCGTCCTCTCCCGTACGCGGTAATTCACCAGCTCACGCGGGCTCCGCGGCGCCCCCTCCGCGCACGCGCGTCCCCGCCTCGGCCCCCGCCCGGCCCCAGACTCTGCTGCGGGCGCTGTAGGTGGGTCCGTCCAAGTTGACGAGAAGGACAGCCGCGCTGGGTGGGGGCGCCCGTCGCGGGGGGCTGGTGGCCTCGACCCCCGTGCCTCGTCCCCCGCCCCCTGCGGATTTTGCCGCAGGGGCCCACCCGAGGCGCGCCTTCTGCGCCGCCCTGGAGGAACGGGAGCGCTGAGGGGCGAGTGCACGGGCTGTGCTGGGGGCTTGCTGAGGGGGCGAAGGTCTTGAGTCGATGGCTGCCGGCTCCTGTCCCCTCACAGACTGAGACCTGTACCCCAGACTTTTGAAAGCCTCGTTTTCCCCTTCTCAGACTAAGGGATCTTTTACTGGACCCTGGAAACAGGTTAATCCCGTGGGCCGCATGCCCGTCTATGCAGCCTCATTAGAGAGGGAAGAAGAGGCGTGTTCCACCGGAGTCTGGGGGATATTTGCTCCTATCCCATCCTCTCTGGATCAGGCGAGGGGCGGGAGGTGGGGGGCTGCCTGCGGGGAGCGGGGCTTGACTGAACTGGACCTTCTACCAGCTGGGCTCGGGGACTGGGGTCCCGCCACTGCAGGCCGAGCCGTCCATCGCTGAGAAGCCCCATTAACTAGGCCACCGCTGGGGGTGGGCGGTGGCGGCTGGAGCTGACCGGCTTGGGTCTCTGGGGGAGGTGGCCGCAAGGGCCAGGGCTTTGAACAAACCACAGAAGGATTCTGCAATATCAAAAGAACTCTTAGTCACTAATATGTGGGGGGAGGGAGGCCGTTGGTGAAAGAGCTGCTGCCTGGTTCCCATCAGCGGAGGATCAAAAAGCATTTGGTCAAAGAACCTTTAAATACCTTGAAAGGCAGGTGGAGCCTGTTCAGTAGACTACAGGAGATACTGAAATGTTAAGTCTGAGCTGCCAGCAAACTAGCTCCAGCCACACCGAGTGGTGGGGGGAGGGGGCCACTGAGGCCGGAGGGAGAAAGGGTGGGGCTAGGCCACTGCCCACCCCCAGCATGACCCAGGAATCCCTGCTGGGTAGGGTGAGTTGGGCAGAGAACTGGGCTCAGACTGTCAGAGCTGGAAGCCACCTTATAAACCTCTGGCTCAGGGATGTTTATTTGGAACCTGTAGGACCCTCTCCCCCCCACTTATGGACAGAATGTTGTGTCTGTATTTGAATATGCGTTTTCCTAGAGAAGAGAGGTCCATGGAGTTCATTAGATTCCCAAAGGAGTCCAAGGCCAAATCAAGACTAAAAATCAACATCCTTGTGGTACAGACTGGTAAACTGAGGCTCAGAAGGATCAAATCACTTACCTCGGCTCACTCAGCTTGTAATTGGCAAGCCAAGGTGCTGCCAGAGTGCATCTCACTAGTCCCCTGTGGTTCTGTCTCAGGGGCCCAGAGTTGTCTGAGACTGGGGTAGGGGTGTCTCAAAACAGAGGCCAAAGGCCAAGATTCTGACTAAAGCTGTGGCAGGCAGGGACTGGCAAGGACAAAGGGCAGTAGCTTTCATCTTTTGGGGTGATGAGTGATTTGAGTGGCTGAACCAACCCTCAAGGGTGTCAAAATGACCAGGGAGAGAGATCCAGAGCCAGAATCTGGATACGGAGGAGGTTACAGGGAGAAAGGATGTGGGTGGGGTTGGGAATGGGGAAGAGGTTTCTGCAAAGAGAGTTTCTGACCCTATGACATGACCCAAGGACGTGGAATGCGGGCCCAGGGCTCTCGGAGGTCAGCTTGGAGTAGTGTCTTTGGTACTTGGGGTCACCCCCAGGGAAGCAGGAAAGTCACCTAGCCTTGCCTTGCCATCTCCCAAGTGTATTCTCACTGACCTATGTGGTACAACTATTAGCCCTATTTCATGGATGAGAAAACTGAGACCCAGATGTGTCAAGTAACTGGCCAAGGCCAAACAGCTAGATCGTGGCAGAGGCAGGACCAGAATTTGAGTCTTGGATTCTTCCTGGGATGCTGCAGGCCAGACCCTGCCTCTTTAGTATGAGGTATCCAAAGGAGGACCCAGCAGAAGACTGACAAGTGTGGGCCCTGGGTAGACAAGCTTGGGGTCTCCACTGTGATGAGGTGGGCAGAGAGAGGGCTGCAGCTACCTTCTAGAAGTTTGCCGTTGCGTCGTTTGTGGGGAGATGGCATCTGTTAATGTGATACCTTCTCCAGACTTCTGTGTTCTGTAGATGAGGAAAGGGAAGCCTGGGGAGGGTGTACCTGCAGGGATGGGGGACAAGGTGGCAGAACAAGTCACTCCGGGCCTGGCACATTGGCAGGCTCTGCCATTGCCCTGCACAGCTGCCTCTCAGAGCCTGCCCCTCCTGAATCGGGAGTGGTGCTCAGCCTGAGCCTCTTGCTACATGGATGGTGGTGATGAGAGAGGTGTGTTTGTTCTGTCACGTGAGCTGCACAAACGGCTTCCTCAGCATTTTATTAATAATTCAGCCTATGGCCAGAAGGGTGGGGTAGGGGGGGACGGGAGCTGTGGGGAGACAGCAGCATTGGAGACCAGGCCAGGTGGAGACCAGGGGAACCCAGGAGCCCTGCCTCCAGCCGTGACCTAGCAACAGAGCCAGGCGGCCTCAGGGGCCCTGTTTAGGAGAGTGCAGGCCTGGCATCTGCTCCTGCGGGGACAGAACGTCCCTCCCTGCTCCCCGTCCCTCCCGAAGCCGACCCAGGACACCTGGGCTCTGATGACAGCACCGTATCAGAAACAGGCCTGAGGGGTCCGCAGCAAGCACTGCACCAGTCCTTGGAGAACCTAGTGCTGCCAGCATTTCCTGCCACGTCATGGAACCCAGGACACAGGGGCCAGGAGCATCAGAGAATGCGAGAGAGATGGGAAGGGGAGAGGCAAAATTCCCAGACCCTCACCACCTGCCAGGGACCAGGCAGAACAGGGGTGATTCACACCCTCTGATCTCCTTTCTCAGAGAAACTGCTCGCTCCCCCAGGCTTCATTTCTTGCTTGTGCCCAGTCCTCAGGGAGTGCTCAGAAGACAGGCACTCACAGTTGGCTTAACTTTCAGTGATGCTCCAGCAAGAGAGGGTAGCCTTCACAAGCAGGAGAATGGTTCAAGGTTAGACATCTGGAAGAACTTCCCTGACAGGCAAAGCATGGGAAAGGGGAGTATGTGGTATCCCTGTTTAGGATAAACAAATGATAATGGCATTCAGAATCAATCAAGACTAAGTACTAGGCTCTCAGTATCATTTTATGTGCTTTAATTGTACCATCTCATTTAATCTTTATAATAGTCGAAGGAAGTGGGCATTATTCTCTCCATTGTACAGATGAGGAATCTGAGGCCCAGAGGTGTCAAGTAGTCTGCCCAAGGTCACGCAGCCATGAATGGCAGAGCCACATAAATCTATATTCTTTCCTCTTTCCGATGACTCTGCATCCCCTAGACAGAGTGAGTGAGGCCCAGTGAAAGAGTGTCCTTAGAGCTTTTCCTGTGTCAAGCAGGAAATAAAGACCCACCTGAGGTTTCCAGTGCCCCCGAGCCTTAGATTCCACAATGATATCTCATGGGGTTTATTCAGTATGTCCGAGGGACTGTCCAGCTCTGACATTATGGAACAATGGTTGTCTAATGCCTGCTAACAGGGAATGAGATTGAAGTTTTTAGTTTTGTAAGGGATAAGCTATAAGCTCTTGGGTGGGAGCAAGCACTGGATCTTCTCACAAATCTCACAGTGGTTGGCACAAGGCTGGGAGTCAGGACCAAGAGTTCTACTCCTGGTTCTCTCACCAGCTCCCTGGGCTTTAGCTCTGGGCCTCTAGCTTCCCCTTGAAACCTCATTTCCACCATCTGTCACCTGAGAGGTGGCCTGGGTCATCTCTCAGAGGTCCTTTCCACCAACTTTGAAACACTCCATGATTCTAGATGCTTATAAAGACCTAGTGAGTCACAGTGATGAATTCTGCAGTACCCTTTCTGGATTCTCCGGTTGATGGATTCGGGAGGTTCCTGAACCGGGAGTTTTTTTGCGCAGTATCCATTCATGACAGGGGTGGGGGCAAAGGGGTGGAAAGGGTGGGTGTGAGGGGGGTGCACTGTTTGCTCTTCATCAGGGCACTGGGCTTCCCTAGTAGCTCAGACAGTAAAGAGTCTGCCTGCAAGGCAGGAGACCTGGGTTCAATCCCTGGGTCAGGAAGGTCCCCGGGAGAAGAGAATGGCTACCCACTCTAGTATTCTTGCCTGGAGAATTTCATGCACAGAGGAGCCTGGGGGGCTACAGTCCCTGGGGTCGCAGAGTCGGACCTGACTGAGCGACTAACACAGGGCAGTGAGAGAGGCCGCTGGGGGTGGGGGTGGGAATAAGCCAAGCCTAGAGACCCTGGAATCCCAGCCTGTTGGCTTGGTTTTCTGGGTTGTGCGAAAAAGGGGTGTGTGGAGAGTACCTGAATTTTTGGCCGTGGATGTGACTGGCTGCAGAGTGTGTGAAACACAATGGCCATTGACAGGGGCGGAGGACCTGAGATTTCTGGCCACTGAGGAATTATGGGCTAGAACCTACAGATGCCTTTTTTTTTCCCCTTCCATTTTTAATTAGAACATTCAATCCAAGGAAATCTGTTCTCTACCGGAACAATCTTCATGGAGGTTTGCTTGGGGGAATTTCCTTGTCTGTTTCTCAACCAGAAAAACTGTGGGTGGAGGTGAATGTATGTGTGTGTGTTATAGGCTCCATGTGAGTTCATGGAGATGGTGTGTGTGTGAGTGAGTGTGCTGGGGGAGACTTGAGATGGAGGCTTGTCCCTGGGGTGCCGGCTGCCTGCTGCTCTGTGGGAAGGTGGAGGTGTGGCTGGGTGTGAGCCATGCAGTATAAAGTCCATTTCTCGAGGTGACAGTAGGAATCCTTGACTCTGGAAAGCCTGGTTTCCCTGCTGACTGCATTCTCAGTGGAGGGGAGGGGTCGATGCTGCAGCAGTCCCCAGGATAATGCCCTCCTGCTTATCCCTTCAGTTCAGGGTAGGGGCAGGCCCTGTATTGTTTGACGCTTTGGTGTCTGTACCTCCTTGTGTAGGAGTGTATTTGAGTGCCTGCGTGTGTGTGTGTGTGTGTGTTGGGGGCAGGGAGTGCTGTGGAGGAGGTGGTGTCATTGATTAGGTGTGTAGGTAGTTTTCTGGACCTGAATCCAGCAATGGTTCGGTTCCAGGCTTTGACAAGCCTTGGGAGATGGCCCCTTCTCCTCCCTGCCCCAGAATCAAACAGTTCCAATTCTGTGGAGAGAGGAGAATTAGGGTTCGCCTGACTTGGACTGTGTTGAGCTGATAGAGGCAGAGAAGGCCAAGTGAGCCCCAGGGTTGGGAGGGGAAGGAGGCCCTTCCTTCTTACTCACTGAAGGGCTGGGGCCAAGGAAAGCAAGAGGGCAGTGGAATGGTGAGAGGGAAGCAGGGACAGAGGTTGAGATGTCTGTTTTCTTCTACTGCGTGGCTGGGTTAAGTGGGGAGGGTCACTAGGCCTAGTCCCTCGCTGAGGGTCGAGATGTTAGATATTTCGGTTCCAGCTGTGCGCAAGCTGTGGGCATGGCCAGGGTGGTGGACCCAGCTCAGCACTGGCAAAAATCCACTCCTGGTTTTTGCACACACCAGCTTCCCTTCCCGGGACCGCCGCTCTGTCGAGCCCCGAGCTGACGCCCTTCAGCCGCCACCGAGTGGAAAACGCGGAGCGGATCTGCTCGCCTTTTGGAACGGAGTCAAAGGGCACCTCGGAGGAGGTGGCCGGCCTCGCCGCCCTGCCGGGTTCGAAGCCGCTGCCATCCGCGGCGCACCGGCCGGCTGGGGCGCCCAGTGCGGTGGGACCCGCATGTCGCCCGGCCCCATGCCCTGCAGCGGCGGCGGAGCAACGCGCGGCCGCGGGCGGCTCTGAAGAGCCCGGAGGGAGCCGGCGACGAGGGGACCATGTACCGGGACCCGGAGGCGGCCAGCCCAGGTAAGCGCGGCCCCGCGCGGTCTGGGGCGCCCCGCACCGGCGGGCAGGACGGCGGCAGCGCCGGGCGCCGTCTCGGAGCCCCAGCCGGGAGCTGCTGTCCAACCGAGCCGCACGGACTCCCCTCACCCAGGGTCACCCCAGCCCCGGGGGCGCGGGCTGGAGCGGCAGCAGCTCGGACCCCGGCCGCCCGCAGGCAGTCCGGGCACTGCCAAGCTTGATGCCCGGCGCCGGCTTCGCAGTGTCCCCACAAGGACCTCCCCCCCCACCCCCCGCAGCCCAAGGACAACGTGTGTGTGGCGGAGAGGGGAGCTAACGCCCCCGCAGTGCCCTCAGAAGCACCCCTGGGTCCCCTAGCACTGTGCTAGGGGACCCCGGGACTGGGATCCCGGGCAGCTTTCGGCCAAGGTTGTGGGCACCGGGAAGCGGAGTGACATCGGCCGTGACAACTGTGAACCGAGAGAGTGCCAGGGGGCAGGTGGAAATCTGGTGCAGCCGCAGGGGAGGGGGGCTTCTGGAGGGCGGTGAGCCCCGGGAACGATGAAACGGGAGGCAGGGGTACCTGAAGGGAAAGAGAGCAGAGATTGGTGAGAATAGGGGTGCCAGGGGAATGTTCTCCTGGCCTTGGGGAGGGGGGAAGCAAAGAACCCCAAACTCACTCCTGTCCTGTCGGGGGTGGGAGGGGGAGGGGCCATGCTCCTTTGCATTTCTGCGGAGCCCAAGCCGGGGAGTGGCCTGAAAGCCCACGTCTGCTAGGCATCCTGGAAGCAGGAATCTTTCCACCTTTCTCGGGAAATTGCTCTGCCATTTCCTCCTTGGCTCCTGATGACGCCTCCTCACACAGTGCCCACCTGTAGGCAGGTCCCCTGCCACTCCTGCCCAGGCTCAGTCTCAACTCCCACCTGGGGTGCCCCACCCCATACCCAGCACCCCCAGTCTGCCAGTCCTAGCAGCAGGGTCTCTGCTTCTGGGTTTCTCTCTGATGCTGAAAGCACAACACCCAAGCCGGAGGACTTGCTCCCAGACCAAGAGCCTCTAGGCTTACTGATGCTAACCTCCGGGGTCTGGGGGCCCTGGGTGGCGGGAGGGACAGCTCTGAGGCCCTTCAGAAGGGGCCTAGAGCCCCAAGGCTTTTGAGGGCACTCCTGTGGTGCCAGCTTTACCTGCTCATGCCCCAGCCCCACATTTGCTCTTTCCCTCTAGGGGCAGGCTTAGCCTGTACCCGCGTCTGTCCTCACCCTCCTCAAGTCATAGCAGCTTGAGCCCACCCAGGAGGACCTCCTGGGTGCCAGGCATTGTACTCATTCTGCACTTGCGTATATGCGTGAAAGAGGACTCAGTCTCCCACTCTGCAGCCTCATGGCCACCTGTGAATGTCCTCTAGGTGACGACTGAAGGGACATTGCCTTTGGAGACCCCTTCCTTCATCTCTCGGGGCCCAGATCCCCCACCCTGGCATCTTCCACCAAGTGGGCTGCCAGCTTCCAACACTGGGACCAAGGACAGAGGCGTTCTCTTGCTTGGATCGTCCTCTCAGAAGCCAATAGCTCAGTGCAGAGACCAGCTCTGGGGTGTGAAAATGGAAGGGGGATGCAGTGAGAACACTCCCCTCCCCCTGCCAGGCTAGCAGCCTCCTGTTAGGCCAGTGGCCTGGGCCCTGCCCTTGTCCTTCTCCTTCCCTCCTCTTTCCTCCCACGCCTGGGCACCATGACATCACCACAACCCCAAGCACCTCTGCCCTCTCCTCCGAGGCCAACTTGATGTGCTTGGCATCTTCTGGGCAGAGGGCCTGGAACCCAGTGCTGCCCCCTGGCCTGCTGGCAGCCCCTAGACTTTTCCTTCTCCCCCTTGAATGGGCCGCCTTGTCTTGGCCAGAGACCTGTCTTGCCCACTCCAGTTGCAGGACTCACCAGTCCTCTGGCAGGGACAGTTCTGGTGGAAACAGCCTGGCATTACTTATGACCAGGTTTACTTCTGTCTGAGGTGGGCAGTAGGCTGGATGGGGTCAGAAATAGGTGGCAGAGGGCAGAATTTGCTTTTGATCCTAGATCTCTGGGGATCTCTGAGGAGCCAGGGACCTGTCTGGACTCTGCGCCCCCTGGCATCCCTGCCCACCTCCTCTCATCCCTACAGCTCCAGGCCAGGCTTTCCCCCTTCCCCAGCTCACCCCAGGCTCCCCCGACTCTGCTCCCCCAGGCAGGGAGTGTGTCCCTCAAGGCTGGCACTGGGTGGAAATAAGATATGCCAATGAATTCCTGTGAGATTCAGGCCCATTCCTCTGGTCCCCCAAAGGCCAGTGGACCTTTTACATCCTCATCACTTCATCCCACTGCCTGGAACACCTGCGGCCCAATCCTTTCAAAACAAGATCTTCGTCTCCTGTCTTCTGCTCCCCCATGCCGTAGGCTGGTTCCAGAAGGTCCCCGTGGTACTCTCTCCTGTAAACCATGCCCTCTGCTGCAGGTCCACAGGGCTCAGCCTACTGCTAAGACCCTTACCCCAACAGGGGACAGGCAAGCTCTATGTGGGCCCCTGGCCCCCAGGCCCTTCTCTTCCAGATCTGAATTCTCTTCCTTGGCCGAAGCAACGGACTGTGGGGCAAAGCCCGAGCCTAGTGAAGAAGGAAGACCAGCCCCCCACCCCACACCTCCGTCACTCCTGCTCCAAAGTCTGCCCCGCCTCCCCCCTGAAAGCTATCCTCCTATCCTCCACCCTCCCGTAGACAGGCAGCCCTCTCCCGGCCCACAGACTCCATCTTCTGTTCATCCCGAAGCTGGACTGGCCTGGCCGCTCTGTGTCCCTGTCCCCTGGCAGGGCAGGGCCTCGGCCGGCCCACAGGGGTCAGCGTTGCAGTGGGCAGGCAGGACGGCAGCAGAGAGGGAGGCAGGGAGAGATGACCTTGCGGTGAGCGAGTGAACAAGGCCAGAGAAGGAAAGCCTGGGCTGGTGCGGTTGCTCTGGGAGAGAGTTCAGGTCCTGAGGGCCACCAGCCCTGGCCCCAGCCGTCTCTGAACTTGTCCTTGGGGATAGTAGTACTTAAAGCCTCCTCCATCTGTCCACCTGCTGGCAGACTCTGCTCCCCCCCCCCCCCCCCCACAGCAGCTCTGCCGGGTACGTCATTCCTAAGGAGTGTGGGGGACACCCCACGGGCCAGGGGGCCTTGGCATAGCAGGTCTTCTCTCTCAACCACAAGACCAACCCCTCCACCCCTGGGCACAAGTGAGGGGCAGAGGCTGCTGGCTGGTGTGTGGGACAAGAATCAGGGCCTGGCCTAAAGGGCAGATCGGGGCTGTACACTGTGAGGGCCATCAAGGTTAGGGACGGGGGCTGGGATGTGGGACAGCCCAGGGAGGCCTGACCGTCTGACCACTTCACGGACAAACTCTCCCCTCCCACCTCCCACCCACCCCACCTGCACTGGCCCAGACCTCTCAGGCCTGCCTCCCAGGCTTGAGTCAGAGTCTTGAGCTGAAGATCACAGGACCTCCCGATGGGCCATGGCCGGTCTGAAAGGCAGGGCTGGACGTGTGACTTCTGTGGGGCTTGGGTCAAGGTAGCCAGCGCCCCCAGGAACCCCCCCCCCGCAACCTTGGCCTTGGGTCACTCTGTTCAGTGGCATTGTGGGGACAGCTTGACTAACAGGCTGCGGGGCTCAGAACCAGGGGATGGTGGAGGGGAAGAGAACCTCACAGTCCCTCCTGGTTCAGGAAGAAGGGCTCGAGCAGGCTGGACCGGCGTGGGAACCCACAGGCCAGCAGGTGACAGGTGAGGGACAGCTGGAAGGCAGAAGAACAGGTGGGCGTCAGGTGGACAAAGACAGGTCCTGGGCAGCTAGGGCCCGGCTGACCCCAAACTCAGGCCCAAGGGACAGTTAGGGCAGCGTGGGGTGACAATTGGTGACAAGAAGACTGTCCCCTTCTCGCCGGCTCCGGCCTGCCCAAAGGACAGGCAGAGGAGGAGTGGGTAGTCCCCCCTTCCCCCTCCTCCTCCCCCTCCCAGCCCCCCACCCCCATTCTCTCAGGGACTTTGAATTCTTATTGAATCCGCTGGACCATTTTCAATAGCTGCTTCCCCCAGGGGAGTGAGGCCCAGAACAGCAGATAGAGGCGTGGTGAGGGGGGCCTCGAGGAGGGTGTCGCGGCTGGGGGTAGGGGCGGGAGGCCCAGTCCTGAGCAGAGGACTCTGGGCTGGAAGAGGAGTCGGCCGCACAGTCTCCCCAAAGGCGCCCAGGTCTCTCGGGTGGGCTCGAGCAGCCGTGCATGGAGCCAGCACCCTGTCCCCTGGGCATGCCCAGCAGGTGGCACATGCCACCCGTCAGGTCAGCATTGTCTGTTGGGGCGGTCACTGGTCTGGCCTGATGCCGGAGCCAGCCTGTGCCAGCCCCAGCCTGGGTGCCCGCCCGCCTTGCCAGGGCACCCCAGCCAGTGGTACCAGGTGGACGTGCCAGTTCCACGGATACGGACGTCCCTGACCTTCCGGGCAGCGGGGGCAGCCTTGCTGGGCCCAGTCCAGCTGGTGTCTAGGGGGCAGGGCTTCGTCTCACCCAGCAGAATTCCCCAAGGGTTGGAACAGAGTTGGCAGACAAAATGGGACCTGTGGAAGGGGCTGGATGGCTCCCAGAGCCTGTGCCTGGAACTCTGGACCCAGCTGGTTGGAAGGTGGGCTGGCGCGACGGGCCTGCCCCGGGAGGCTCTGCAGCATCTGCCTGGAGGGGTCTCTTGGCAGAAGTGTATCGCCTGCGGGGCTGAGCTGGGAGCTGACTGGAACGGTGAGCTGGGAGGTTTGGGGAACTGATGATCGGAGTGACTGCGGGTGTGGGGCCCCAGCACCCAGGAAAGGGAGGGCAGGGCCAGTGGGCAGAAGTGCCGGGCTGTGTGTGTACCTGGGTGCGTGCGGGTAGCAGCTGGACAGCCCTAATAGCTCATCCAAGCGCCGTGCCCGCTGTAAACAGGAGCTAATGAGTGGATTTGTAGCGAGGTGTGTCAAGGTGCGTGGGGAGCTGTGACAGAGAGCGTTGGGGGAGGGCCGCTCCCCTGGCCCTGTACCCAGCCAGGCGGAGCCTGTGCCCCCCAGGGGCCCTGCCTGCCCCCTGCCACACCCTCCCACCTGCCAGCTTGGCTGCCTCCAAGGCCTCCATCTGCTGGGAGCAGGGCCTCACCTGGCTGTTCGGCGTGCACAGCAGGGATGTTCAGGGGGATGGGGGGGAGGGTTGGAGCTTTGGTGTGTACAGATACAGGGAGGTCCAGGACAAACTGTGAGTTTGTCAATGTGTGTGTGTGTGTAACTGGGTGTGTATACGTGTTTCTCCAACTCGATGTGTGTGTGTGTATGCACCCCTTCCCAGAGCTCTCAAAGGAGAACTGCCCCCCCGAATCTTGGTAATGGCCCTCCTCTTCCGATGCCCTTCCTGGGGCGGAGGGAGCTGGGGTTCTCCAGCTGACCGGGGGAGAAAAAGGATGACCCTTTCTGCCCATCAGAGGAGGTGGGCCAGAGGTGCTGGTTGCCTCGGCAAAAGGGGAGAACTTTGCACCTGTAGAACCCCCGCCAGCCCCGTGGCTCCCGAGCGCTCAGGAGCCCCCAGAGTGAGAGACGAGAGGTGCCAAGGGGTCCCTCCTAGCAGGTGGGGGTCTCACAGAGCCGGCTGGCGAAGTGTGCACCCTGCTTCCAGCTGGAGTGGGGGGTGGCATGGGGTGTGGGAGGCCTCGAGGGGTTCTGGCGTGAGGCGCTCCATGAGGGGAGCTGTGTGGCAAATGTGTCCAATTAAATTACTTCAAACCCTGCCGCAGCAGCTGCTCCCGGCGGGGCCCTGGGTACAAATTGGATCCGTCTCATTACCACAGGGTGGTGTCAGCGGGGCCATAGAGCAGTGGCCAGCTCAGCTAGTGCACGGCCAGCCCTCTCCCGCCCTGCCCAACCCGGGCCCGCCGTGACACCTGCAGGCACTGGCTCCCTCCAGCATCTCTCTGGTTCCTCAAGGCCCCTGGGTCCGGATCCTGGGCTCCCTGCACACCTCCTTGCCGTCCCAACCCCCACTCCCGGCAGCCCAAGGCTTGCTCTGCACCCTCACTCTCTTTCTCCAGGAAAATGGGAGTTTCCTGTTTTATGGCAACCCACTCCCATATCCTTGCCTGGAAAATCCCATGGACAGAGGAGCCTGGGGGCTACAGTTCACGGGGTTGCAAAGAGCTGGACTTGACTGAGTGACTGAGCCCACACACCCTGCTTTATAGGGGGTCCAGCCTAAGGAAACCCCTCTTAGATCACCCAACAGACCTTGTTCTCTCCCCTGATGATAATAGTAGGACAATAATAGAAAGTTCTTATTTGTGGAGCATTTGTTACGTGCTACGCATGTCACGTCCATGCAGCAAGGGGTGGCTTGCTTAAGCCAGGTCTGTGGGGTCAGACAGCTTCCAGTAGAAACACTTGCCACTGTGTCCCTAGAGCAAGTCCCCCCACCACCCTGGGCTCAGTTTCCTCCCCTGTTAAATGGGTATGATGTTGGTTCTTACCTCCCGTGGAGTCAGAGGATGAGGCGAGATAAGGCAGGAAACATCTTTAACAGAAAGCCCAGCACATAGTAAACACTCAACCAGCGACAGCTGTTATCAACATTACCCTGCACTGAGTGATTGACATGTGGGATTTGGGTTCTGGAAGCTCCAAGGATGACAGGCCTGCCTCCTGTCGGCAGTGTGGAGGGCTTCACGGAGGCAGTGTTGATCCGACTACTCCAGAATAGCAAAGACATGTGGAGCGTTCAGTAGATGCTAGCTGCTCTTCTAAGCCCCCAGCGTATGTTAGCTGGTCCATCCTCAGACCACCCTGGGACAGGGGGACTTGCAGTTAGAAGTTGATTTGGGACCAGCCACACTGCCAGACCCAGGAGCGTGAGCCTTGGGCCCTGGATTTTGCGTTTTGGAGGGAGAATAAGAGCGTGAGCCTTGGGTCCTGGGTTTTGGGTTTTGGAGGGAGAATAAGAGCTTGCCATGTGAGCAGGCAGGGAGGAGTCGTTCTGCATGGTGGGGACAGCATGTGGAGTGCCCCGGAGGTCTGTCAGATCTCGGCTGGTCAAGGCAGCAGTGGATGTCTAAGCCTGCAGGGCTGGAACGGAGGTCTTTGGGGGGCAGTAGCAGGAGTCGGAGGGCATGGCAACCCAAGTCAGTATTCTTGCCTGGAGAATCCCCTCGGACAGAGGAGCCTAATGGACTACAGTCCTTGGGGTCGCAAAGAATCCAACACGACTGAGCAGCTAAGCACAGCAGGAGTCGAGGCTTGGGTGCAGCAGGCTGGGCCAGCTGATGAAGCTCCTGGCATTCTGAAGTAGGAAAACTGGACTTTTTTTGTTTTAATTTGGGCAGTGGCAGGCTACGGATGGCTTTTAAGCATATCTCTATGAAAAACTTTAACGCAGCAGTGTGGAGGGTGGGAAGCCTGGAGGCAGGCCCATCTATGGAGCTGGATCCCCAGCCATTAACGTATTTGTTTCCACCCTTGTCCAGCCCCTCCACCGTCTCTTACCTGCACAGGGCTGTGTCCAGAGCACCCGTAGCAGGAGGTCTGGGGCCCTGCCCTTGGAAAGCCTGTGGTGGGTGATGGGCAGTCAAGGGAACAGCCTGGTGTAGGGGGGCATGACTGTACACCCCCAGGGGCTTACCTAGGGGGCCAGGGTATCAGAGGAAGTCTCCTGGGGAGAGATGTAGAGCCAAGTGGGGTGGTCCCAGGGCCCAGTGAACATAGGTAAGGCTCCTGAGAATCCGTTCTGCACCCTACCCCCCGACCATGGGCATCAGGGCCTGGCCCTGGAGGAGCCATACTGCTCAAGCTCCAGTTGCCAGGCCTGAGCTCCAGAGCCCCACCGGAGCCAGCCTGTCTCCACAGCAACTAGGCAGGCCGCCCCCCTCTCCATGCCCACGGCCCCTGGCACAGGGGCCCATTCACAGCAGGGCCTGGGTACGTCTTCCCACTTCCCTAAGGGGGTCATCCCAGAGCGAACGCCCTCACACCCAGGCACTGCAGCAGATGAGCATGTTGGCATTTGGGTCCGTGTGCACGCACAATGGGTATGGGTGCCCCGTAGCAGGAAGCAGGGGGTGGGGATGGTATATGTTTTCTGCCCACCTTGGCTGGGGGACTGGTCCCCTGGGGGAGAAGGTCCAGTGGGTACCAAAGAGGATGAGCTCTGGGCTCCTGCCTCAAGGACCAGGGTAAGCAGGAGCATTTGCTGGTAGGGGAAAGCCATAAGGAGGCTCTCTCAGCAGTGCCTGGTGGATCCACAGACCACCTCTTTCTACACATACGGCTTTCATGTAGCCTTCACAGCAGCCCCTCGAGGGAAATATTACCACTGTTGTACAGATGAGGAAACTGAGGCCCAGCAAGGTGGAGCATCTCTCCAGGTCACTCAGTAGAGCAGGGATGGAATTGCACGTCAGCCTCACTGCCAAGTCCTGGTCTTAACCACTGTGCCACACTGCCCTCATCCCACTAGATCTGAGCTAGCCTGCCTCTTGATCCATCGCCCGGAAGGGAGGGCTGGGGATGGGTACTGGCCGCAGAGCTGGACCCAAAGTGTGTCCCAGCACCTGCTTTCATGCCTGGCGTCCCCTAAAGCTTTGTTCCCAGGCCCCTGGAGTGGGGCGGAGCCTCCTTCCCAGCATATCTCCTCTCCCTCTCTCTGGGCGCCGTGGAAAGATCCTCTCACTCAAAAGGAAGCACCCCTTACTCCCTACTTGGCTCCTGCCAGCCCTGGAGGAGCCTGATGAATCGGCTGTGTGTGTGCCCCCCCCACAACCCCGTTCCTCCCTCTCCAGCCCCCGCCTGGTTAGGGAGGTGCGAAGGGAGCGATTTCACAGCCTGTCAGCTGAGGCCTAAAAATACACAGAACTCCGAGATGCTTGGGCAGGGGGAGGAGAGAGCAGGGACCAAGGATGGGGTGGTGGTGGGGGTGCGCCGGTAACTTGGCCAGAGTCGCCCTCTTGGCACCACAGTCCTGCTCGGCAGTGGTGGACAGACCCTCCATCCCCTGGTTCCCCATCTGGCCCCATGTCTGGCGATGACAAAGGGGAGTTGGCATCTCTGGGGTCCTGAGGAGCTCAGCTCTGCACTCAGACCTAAGGGAAGGCTTAGTGTCAGATGGGAACCATAGTCCCCGGGCCCCAGAGCCTCCGATCGATGGCTCTTTCTCCCTCTCCTCCCCCGGGTTGGCTGGCATCTTTGGGCTGTGGGAGCCAGGCTGGGCCTGTGCCTGCTTCCTTCCTGGAGAAGGTGCCTGCTTCTTTTAGGGGAGAGGCGTGCGGAAGGCAGCGTGGATGGGGGTGCCGGCAGGTGCGCGATGTGACGTGTGAGCCACCCAGGCACTGGGGCAGGGCGGGGGGGACGCAGAGGAGAAGGGGTGTGGCGGCCCACGTCACCGCCATGTGGCCATATGCCGAAGCCTGGCACATGGCTCCCTCGAGTCAGCCAGTGCCCAGAAAGGGGGCCGTGCGTGCGCGTTCATGTGGGCCTGCCAGAGCTGGCCTGTTCTTGGCGGACACGGACGGTCGTGTGTGGCTATTCCAGACAGAAACTGGGTGGAAGCACAGGAGTGGGCGTGGCAGCATGAGCAGACGCATGTTGTGTTATGCAGACACGTGACGGCGGGTGCACTTCCCATGTGGAAGCGTGATGGCGTGTGTGCCAGGGCCGAGGGACATAGGTGGATCTCTCTGGGGCACCAGGCAGGGGCCGAGAGAGTCATTAGGGAAACAGTGCAGAGTGGCAGGCAGAACGTGGGCTCTGGATCAAAAGTGATGGGGCCCAAATCCCAGATCGGCCATGTATTGATTAGAACTGTGGCCTTGGGCAAGTTACTTAACCTTTCACTGCCTCATTTTCCCATCTCTAAAACAGACAATAATAGCTCTTACTTCAGAGTGGGCTGGGAGGGGCTGCTGAGTTAGCGTCCATACACTGCCTAGAACTGTGTCTGTCACAATGTTAGTGTCATGTATAGCAGCTCCATGGACAGAGGACCCTGGTGGGTTATACAGTCCATGGGGTTGAGAAGAGTTAGACATGACTGAGCAACTAACACACACACACACACACACACACACACACACACTAGCTCTATTATCTGGTCCTACCCTTTGATGGAGAAGGAAATGGCAACCCACTCCAGTATTCTTGCCTGGGAAATCCCATGGACAGAGGAGCTGGGGTGGGTGGGGCTACAGTCCATGGGGTCACAAAGGGTCAGACATGACTTAGTGACCAAATAATAGCTCTTTGATGATACAGGTGGGAGAAGCAAGGCCCGAGAGGGCAAAGGACCTGCCCAACATCGCACAGTATGTGAGTGGCAGAGCCAGAACTAGAACCCGGACAGCCACACTGTAAGACAGAGCTTAGTCAGGTCTAGATCTCCTTTGGGCCATTGGAAGCCTCCACAACACAGAACTGTAACCCCATTGGCATCTGGGGCCTAGATTCTACCAGGGCTGGGCTAGGATCTTGCAAATTCAGGGCTCTGAGCATCTTCAGATAATGGCAGGGTGCAGGGGTCCTCAGAGCAGTGGCCAGCCACCCGAGTTAGAACCATGCCACTGGTTAATCTGCAGACTTGGCCAATTACTCAACCCTCCTGAGTCTCCGTTTCTTCCCTATAATAGAATAACAGTAATACATACTTTATAAGGTTATCGTGGGGATTAAATGAGATCTGCATGTAATGTCTTAAGTGGTTGGAACACTGTACCTAGTAAGTGCTCAATAATGTTAGCTGCAATTATAACCCATGCAGAACCCTCCCACCCAGGGCTCCATAAATGGTGACTTCCTTTGCTTCCCTTCCAGCCCCTGGCAACCCTTGCTCCCTTCTGCCTGCCACCCCACACTCCACAAGGCTTAGACGGATCAGGGACTGACTTGCTGGCAACCAGACCTGTCTTGTCTCCTTGGCCCAGGAGGGAACAGGACCCACCACTGAGACTTAGCCCCTCAGCCCTTTTCACCTGGCCTCCTCGCTCACTTGTTCTGTGACCTTGGACAAGCTCTGTTTCCTCTCAGGGCCCTTCATCCTCCCCTCCGTAAAGTGGAGGGGCTGGACCACACAGTCCCATGGCTTTGTGACCCAGGCAGGTCGTGGCTTAGCCTGCTGGAGGGGGCGGCAGGTTGGCAGAAAGGAGAGTCGGCTGGCTGCCCTGGATGAGTGAAGCATCTGGGGCCTGAGCCGGCTGGTGGCCTGCCATCCTGCCCGCCCGCACCTGTGGCTGCGTAGGAGGGCGGGCAGGCCCGGCTGGCTGAGCACTGACATTGGGAGGTTCAAGGACAATGACGTAGAGAGAACCCTTCTTCTTGGGGCCCTGGGAGCGGCCACTCCAGCCGTCCTCCCCCGCTCTCCTCCCCTCCTCCCCAGGGCTTTCCTTCAGCAATGCCTCCTTCCTCTCTCCTTCCCCCTTCCTGGAGTCCCCTGGCATCTCCCCGCCCCTACCTTTTCCACTTCTGTCATCTTGACCATTTTCCAGGGTTCCGTCTTTCTCTCCCTCAGCAGAGGGGGAATCTTTCCCTCCTCCTCTGTCTCCCTGCTTCCTGAAATGCCTCCTTATTCCTTCCTATGACGTGTCCCCGTTTCTCTGGATCTTCCTGGCTCCCCCTGCTCCTCCTAAGCCCAGGTCTCTCTCTCACTCTGCCCAGCATGTCTAGGCTTCTTCCAGCTTCTTGTCCCCTGGCTCTCTCTCACGTCAGAGCTGTAGCATCCCCACCTCCCTTCTTCCCATTCCTTGGAGCACCTGACCCCACCACCCGTCCCCCCACCCTCAAAAGTTTCCTGGCCTGCTTCCGATGATGGGGCTGGTCCAGGCAGTTGCTGTGGCTGGTGCTGCTCCCTAGGATCTCAACAAATTCCCCACCCCTGTGAGTTGAGAAAAGGGGTCAGCCCGGGGCCCAGGGACTGGCAGTCTTGCCTCCTAATTAGCAGGAAGTAATTGCCTGGAAAAAAAATTTCATTTCAAATGAGACTCCGAGACTCCAAGTTAGAGCTGAGCCAACTGATGGCCCCTAGGGAGCAGGAGCAGGGAAGCAGCTCAGGGCAGGGCCTCAGGAAGCCCCCAGGAGATGAAGGTCCTTAAGACCCCCTCACTGGTTTGCCTGCGGGACCCCAGCCATGAAGAAGTAGGGAGAGAGAGCACTGGGCTGGGAGCCCCACCATCTTCACCTGCGTTCTGGCTCCATTATTCATTGTGTGACTTGGGACAAAACTTATTCCTTTGAGCCTTAATTTTCCTTTTTTTTTTTTCCTCCCATGTAAAATCGGAAGAGGGCCTCAGTATCATGAGAGTTGATTTGAACAGTGGCTTTGAAAGCAATTCGCAGGCTGTAAAGTGCTGTGGGAGGGTGAAGTGTTACTGTCTTCCATGTGGCTCTCAGCTGAGACATGAGGATGGTGGAGGGGTGGGGTGGCTTTGGAAACTCCTAAGGGGGCAGTGAAGCCTCCCAAAGAACATGGAAGGATGGGGTGATAGACCCAGTTGAGCTGTAAGGTTAAGAGCAGATAGATGTGGTTTCCCTTGCTGGTCTCAGTACTCATCAGCTGCACCAACTGAGTGGTCACCTCACCTCTCTGAACCGCACTTTCCTTATCTGTAGGATGCTTCCCTGGGGCATCAGGGTTTGGCCAGGCTAAATGAGATAATGTTCACAGAGCTCTCAGCACAGTGCCTGTCCTGTAGTAAGTGCTCAATGTATATTAGCCACATCTGCTGTAATTAAGTGGCTTTCCTGGTGGCCCAGCTGGTAAAGAATCTGCCTGCAATGCAGAAGACCTGGGTTCGCTCCCTGGGTTGGGAAGATCCCCTGGAGAAGGGAAAGGCTACCCGCTCTAGTATTATGGCCTGGAGAGTTCCACGAGCTGTATAGTCCATGGGGTTGCAAAGAGTTGGACACGACCGAGCAACTTTCACTTCACTCACTGTAATTAAAGGCTATTATCTTTACTCCCTGCCTGGATCCAGAGAAGCTGATTCGGGGTGTTGTCTTCAGGTGGTTTCATTTGTGTTGCTGTTTGTTTTAGGAAGAGGAGAATTTCTGCACCCAGTGGGGCTAATACAAGCAATCCCTAGAGACACCGAGTGGCTCTGCCTCTCCAAGAGACCCTAACTGTGGGGTGGGGAGAACCGGCGTGGGCTGCAGCTGTGGCCCTCTCCCCCAACCCCCATTCTTCATAGGAAAGAGCTGTGGGCACGCTTCTTATTTGGGTGGATGTAAGGTAGGGAGTCTGTGCCCTGGTGAAGGCATGTTACAGGCCTTAGTGTTCATCTTGTTAGGACTGGCCTGGCAGCAGGAGAAAAGGTTACGTTTGTTTAAACAGGTCTACCCCCCCACCCCATCCCCCACCTTGGAGGAGAGAACAGGAAGTTTCCACCTGGTAGGGTCCAGCTGTGTGGGTTGAATTTGCTGTGAATGGAGCAACACAGCACCCCAAGGCAGCCGGAAAACAGTTGGACAGCCTGCAGCGTTTGGGTGTTGGGCAGCGCTGCAAGCTTAGAGCTCCAGATTGCCCCAGGAGGGGCGAGGGGGCGGCGGGGGCCCGACCGTCTGCCGCTCCTTCCCACACTCCCGGCGCCACCGCTGGGGACCTTCTGTGTGCCTGCTCTGAGCGCAGTACCCGCGCCAGCCGCCAGGAGGCAGTGTGGTGGGGGGGCTACCCTGAGGGAAGGGGATGCCGCATTTACATTATCTGGAAAGCTCTTTTTATCAGGAACAGGGCTGCTGACTGCGGTTCTTGGCATCTGTAGGCCTCATCCAGGAAAGGGGGGCTCTTGAGGTTGGCTGCTCGCTGCTGTGTCTTCAACTTGGGACTTATCAGGGAGTAATTAGCAGAGGAAAGTGGGACCGCCACGCTACAGTCCCGGAAAAGGGCGCAGCCCCGGGACCGTTTTCTGTTTCAGCACCAAGGACAGAGGCGATGAGCCGACCGTTGTTTCAGTACCGCGGACAGAGTTCAGAGCAGCGGGCTCTGTGAATCCATCCAATTTGTGGTGCCAATAATGCCACCAGAATATGGAAGAACAACACCCCCAAGAAGGAATCTCAGATCCCTTATATTCTAACGCGGAGACGGGGCCCAGAGAGTTGAGTTCGTTGCCTAAGGTCACACAGCCACAGTGACGGTGGGTGGCAGATCCTCAGTGGTTTCTCTCCATCCTCCTACCCCCACACCTGGATCCCAGCGAGTTATATCCCTCCTTCTTGAACATCTCTGGGAGCAGCTTCACATTAAGTTGCATCCCCCAGAACTTTGAGCTCGCGAGGATTAAGTGTACCCCTCTCCCACCAAAAACTCAAGTCGGGAATCTGAATCCCAGGAGAGAAGATTCCTAGCCCCCATGGTTTCCCTGGCGCCAAGCCTCAGGTGGGAAGGTGTCACGGCAGGACAGGTGCCCTGTCCTGTAAGGAAGCGTGTGACTTGAGGAGGTAGAGTTGAGTCATCAGCATAAGGAACTCTTAAGTGCTCTGAGGTCCTCAAATAAAATATAGCACACCATTCCAATCCCAGCTTCTTTGCAGCTGTGTATTATTAATAACAATAAGATGCTGATTTAGGCCAAGGCACAACAATGCATTATTCATAAGAGTAACTAGTGGTCAAGGCCTGCACTTAATCATCACACGTCCCTGATCCTGCCCCCGCTGCACACTCCTGGTGGAGAGGCCCTCAATCTGAGCTTCTCCTTTTTCTGGGCTCTTGCTGCCCTGATGGACATGATCATTTTCATGGCTGCCCAGGCAACTCATCAGCTTTGGGGTCAGAGTGGGTGACAGGTTCCAGGCTAGCTTCTGGCTGGACACCCTTCAGTCTGAGCTCCCTCCTTAGAGCTGGCACCTGATCCTCTCTGTCCTGAGTGGCTTTCACCCTGAAGACTTCCAGACTCAGTAGGTCTCTGGTGTATACAGATGTCCTGTCACCCTCCCTACACACACCCTCTTTTGAGGCTGAGGACTGAAGCCAGATGCACCAGACTTCTCTAAGCCAAGAATTGTAGGAGTTTGGGGGTGTGGCTGTAGTGAGGGGAGGGAGTCACCAGGTAGAAGATACCCCCAACACTTCCATTAAATATGACAATGGATTTAAAACCCTCAGTAAACTCTGGAGCACTCTGTCAACTGTTCTGCACTAAACAAAGCTGAGCCGTATTACCAAAGCCATGCTCTCTGCTGGGAAGACAGCAGAGGCAGAGAAGGCGTGGATGAGGTCCTCGTAGTTCACCAGGCCCCACTCCCTGATGAGGAGCAGGAGTTCTTGTGGATCCTGACATGTCCCCGTCCAATTTCTTGCTGGAACGGCTCCTGGCCCATCCGGATAATCCTTCATTCGCTGTTTACTCACTTGGCATCTCTTCTGAATTCTAAACTGTCTGCATCCAGCCGGCCTCTGCGGCCCCTGCCAGCACACTCTCCCTGGCTCACTCACGCATTATCTGTTTTTATTACAGTCAAGGTTGAGGAGGCTTGCTCGTGCTAAGCCCCTATTTTCAGCTACTTGTAACTTTCCAAAACAATTCCCCTCAGGCCTGCTCTTTCACCAGCCTTGTTCCTGCCCCAGGTGAGGCCAGAGGGCTTGTGGGTGCCTCCGCTGGTTTCTGAAGGACACTCAGAGAGACTGTCTGGAGGGCATGGGGGTAGGGCCACAGCCCAGCTCTCCTGGGAAGCGAGAGGCTCTCTTCCCTCTCCTTTTTCTTCTTTCCTTCTACCTGTCCATCTCATTTTCTTTTTCTTGTTGGAAGGAATGAGCTGCCCCCATTCCCAAGATCGGTGGCCTGGAGTGGGGGAGTTTTCAAGTGAAGAGCGGGCAGAAAATTCAGCATGACAGGAAGCCTGGAGCTTTGCCTGGCTGTCTGGGGTTCAGAGTTTAGCTCACTGGTTTTCTGTTGCTTTCTCCCACACTCTGCCTTTTTCTGGCTTCCTTGTGCATGTTGGGTCTTCTCGAAGAGGAAGGGAGGTGGGGTAGGCACCAAAAATGTTCCCCTCCCCATGCCCAAATAGCCCTGGGGCTGGTAGGCTCTGCCCTTCCCCTGCCACCCTCCCCCGTTTCCATCTGCTCTGCATGCACGTGGAG